AATTTCCCTATGAAACAAATAACAGAGAATATTTTCTCTTTAATTTTCCTAATGAATTAGGTAATTAAGAAAACCATTTTATTCTTGAGAATTTCATAGACCCTAGTTCTATGAAATTACCCAAAACTTTCATGAAAAATCAAAAGAAATTATCGGAAGATGATGAAGAAATGACATTGGAAATATACTTTTTTTGCCATCTGCCAACTCGGCAAAGAACGTATAATTAATTTTCCGCTCTGGCGAAAACGATATCAGGATTTTCCTTGCGAAGAAGTTCGAGATAAAGCACATCTTCAATCTTCCCCTGTCACCTTTTTCCTTCATCCAACTGCGTGAGACTGCCACCTCTGCTGATGCTCTGCTTTGCAGATCAAGCACAAGGCCGGCGATCAAATTAATCTCGTGATAATATCACGTATCTTGGAGCTGGCAGACCACTGCGACTCTGTACGCTTATCTCTCGCAACTGCGCACCGGTGACCGGTGGCCTGCGACGGAACCAGAAATGGTTAAATTGTACCATGGGACCATGGTCTGCAAACGGAGCCCGCCCGCCCGCTAGCCCTCAATAATGGGGCGGCCGGGGGTCTGGGGCGCGACCGTTGCAAAAGGCTATGTACAAAAATTCGTCGCTACGCCATGACATCGGAGAGTATCCACTGCGGATCTTTGCGTATTAAAATAGGTATGATGCCAGCATGTTGAATTAACCTCAACTTCGAAGGGTGCTGCTTGCAGTGGCTGGTCATGTCATGACCTCTTCAAGAGTCTCCGGCGTGCAGGGAGCGGATTCTGCCCTTGGTTCAGGCTGAGGGATGTTGGGATGGCAAAGAACGTATAATTTTCCGCTTTGGCGAAAACGAGGGCAGGATTTTTCCTTGCGAAGAAGTTCGAGATAAAGCACATCTTCAATCTTCCCCTGTCGACTTTCTCCTTCATCCAACTGCGTGAGACTGCCACCTCTGCTGATGCTCTGCTTTGCAGATCAAGCACAAGGCCGGCGATCAAATTAATCTCGTGATAATATCACGTATCTTGGAGCTGGCAGACCACTGCGACTCTGTACGCTTATCTCTCGCAACTGCGCACCGGTGACCGGTGGCCTGCGACGGAACCAGAAATGGTTAAATTGTACCATGGGACCATGGTCTGCAAACGGAGCCCGCCCGCCCGCTAGCCCTCAATAATGGGGCGGCCGGGGGTCTGGGGCGCGACCGTTGCAAAAGGCTATGTACAAAAATTCGTCGCTACGCCATGACATCGGAGAGTATCCACTGCGGATCTTTGCGTATTAAAATAGGTATGATGCCAGCATGTTGAATTAACCTCAACTTCGAAGGGTGCTGCTTGCAGTGGCTGGTCATGTCATGACCTCTTCAAGAGTCTCCGGCGTGCAGGGAGCGGATTCTGCCCTTGGTTCAGGCTGAGGGATGTTGGGACACTGCTTGGCTGCTGCTTTGACTTCGTTACCATCACATTCAACTCGGCACATGGGCTGAGGTGCATGAGAGCCAGTTTCAAATCTTCTGAATTCAATGCCAATTGCCTTTCCTTCGTGCCCCTTTTCGTAAAACGCGTTGCCAATGCAATTCTGTGGGAAGTTGTCTAAATTACGGTCCTTCTAGGATCCTTCTCACAAAGGGTGCCGTGCTGTAAGGGAGACCTAAAAATGGATCCTAATTTGGAGAACTTTCTCATGGTACCCTGAGAGACACCCTTCTAAACGCTTTATAGTGGAGACCTGCCACCGCAAAGACCCCGGCCCCAGCGCGCCGACAGGATCTGCCGCTGGCCGGTACACGCGCCAGCCACCCAGCTGCTTCCTCGACCTGCAGGTATCCCGGTTTAAGGCGTTTGGGGTTGCGGGCGTCTCTTCGGTCGTAAAGACATACATTGAAACTTGGAGCTTCAAGCTTGGACGCTGGTCTTCGTCCCGTATGCATCGAGCTGCTTCGTAAACGGCTACATGACTACGCACAGAGTGTAGGGTACGAAGCTACAGTACGAAGTGTTCAAGCCTTTTTACAGGCCTTCTGCGGGCACACCGAACCTGGCGGCTATGTGTGGAAAAGGGCTCAGGGACATTTGGGGTTGGAACTGGAGGATGAAGGCTTCCCCTGCCACCTCTCAGATCGGCTGGTCAGAAAACCTCGTAGCAGCAGCCCCCCGAATGCAAGAACCACAAGGCTTGGGACGGTTTCTGTGATCCCACCAGCTTCGCCTCAGGGCTTCAAGTATGCGGCTTCAAGTATGCAAGTTGAGTCTTGCCCGCTGCTTTCAGGTCCCGAGCTGATGTGAAAGAATATACTCCTCAAGGCCCTTGCTACAAATAGCTGCTCGAGCCTTGGTGATCCGAAAAGTATCTTTACAGATGTCACCCCTGTTGTACTATCGAACTACAACTGCCTCCCGACCTCCCTCCCTGCCCACATGATCGTTTGGGACCTGTGGGGTGCCTTCCCAGCGCACGGAGAAGCGTCGGGGTCGAGATTCCTGGGAGCTCGTTCGAAGAAGCAGAGGATCCTAGTGCGGCTGTCGGGGTTCAGGCTTGAATATCTCAGGGCATTTTCGGTGGTAAGTTGGAACCACAGCCAACACTGAGGTCGCCGAATATGTTTTGACAAAGGTCAGGTGTTGGGATGCTATCTTCCAGAATCAGACTCCGCAAACCCCCACATCCTTAGAAGGCTGTGCGCTCTGCCCGAAAGCCCAATAATGAACATCCAGTTTTGCACACCACGAGAGAAGGAACCCGTGAACCCGGCATCCGAAGAACGGACAGCCAAACCGACACCATTCAAAAACCCTCCGGAGTCCTACTCGAACCCCCTAAGAGAAGCCTACACCCTGGAAAAGGTAGAAAACTAAATGGAGCGGGGAAGGTATAGTGGCCATGAACGCTATTCTTGTGACGATAGCCGGAAACTTCAAAACACTATCCCGCATCATTATATGTGTAGTGGGGTCGTTGGTTGCAATGGCAGCAACAAATGCACCAGTGACAGCAGCAATCATAGCAATCATAATGTTGAAAGAGGCAATTATTGCAACGCTGCAAGTGGCTACTGCTGCCGAGTTGCCAAGAAAGATGCCAACTCTTGAAGGTTCTTGAAGTGCGTCATGCACACCTGCAGCTGCAGCATGCTTCCAAGATCTGACAATGTTCCTGATTCACGGGCTTGCAGCTGTGTTGTGGTTTTCCTTGGCGTTAAAGCACCGCGTCAGTGTGCTAAAGACACTGCTGTGAGATTCCCTGTGCTCATTGCCGCCTGCAGGCCGTTGGAGATGCGTTCTGCACAAGCTTCAAAAAGGAAATCGTGAATTCCAACAAAGTCTCACCGGCACCTGCATAAAGCTTTGGGCTTCAACCCGGGCATCACGCAAAGGTAGCAGAAGCCTTCAAAACCATCCTCGCGGTCCAACGTCTTCGAGTGGCCCCTGCAGCCGACCTGAAGTCCAAAATCCGGAAGGCCCCATATCCGAAACGACCCGAAGCCGCTGAATAATTAGAATAGGGTTTCGGGGCCACTTATACTATAAGAACTATAATAAGGAGCCCCCAGGCCTCAACTCCTAAACGACCCGAAGCCGCCTCCGCCCATTCCATCTCCCAGAGAGGCATCGAGCCCCCCTTCGCCCGCAAGAGATGGCTCAGCTCCTCCTCGAGGCTCGGAGCCTGCAAAAGCTTTCGGAACACCCAGAGTAGGGTTTAGGGCTTGGGATTTGGGGTTCAGGGGGGGTGTAGGGAGTAGGATTTAGGAACTAGGATAGAGTTTAGGGTTGAGGGTAGAAAGCTGGGAAAGCGGTTTTCTTGTCGCCCTTGTCGCCACTACACGTTAAGGTTCACCTAAACGTGCTTATTCCCCTAGACCTTGCCATGTAGGAATGACTGCAAAAACGAAGCCTAGAATTCCAAACCATATTCGGCATCCTGTTCACATCGGGCCAGCCGGGCAAATTTCTGGAAAGCACGGAGTTTTCCAAACTGTCGAGATTGGACGTCGATGTCGTGAATAGATGCAGAAGTAACGAAAACATAGCAGTAGCTGTAGTGCTCGGAACAACAGAGCAGCTAGCGCAGAAGGACAAAACCGTGAAAGGTGGCAAATCCAAGAGCAGAAGATCTAGGCGAGGTGTGGCGGCGAAGGTCTTGTACCCCAGGCTCATGTCCCCCAGTGGATCAGTTGCCTCCACCGTGGAGTCGTCGGCATCCGAGGAGATGTCAAACCTGCAAAGAACCCACACAAACATGTCACACACGCACTCCACCCCGGAAAAAAAGGTTTCAGAATCCGGCACAAGCCCAGAGCGAACAAGACTTTTCCGGTCTGCTCGACTTCCTAGTCTAGCACCGGACCGGATGAGCTGCTGCTTTGAATTCTGTAGTGCAAGAGGCCTTGGTTGCACTAAATCTGCCTCTGCCACCGCAAACCGCAAACCCGAAACACAAGACCCCCTCCATGCCCTGCAAACGACGATTCGGAGGGCTGAGAAGGGGGGAGATGAAGACGAAGAAACATCTGAGGAGCCAGGGCGGAGATTCACAAACCCTTAGCCCCCAACAGCTGAGTCTCCGCACGCCTGAGGTTGGAGTTTAAGGGTAAAAGATACATGCTTCCGAGAGATGAAGGGCCACCTTTGTAGGGTCGTAAGCTTGGTTTCTGCCAGGTGTATAGCGAGAGCGGCAAATGCATCCCATTTGCAAGAGCAATTTCGGAGTTTTCGAAGAGACGAGACCCCAACAAAGCCGTGATTCCAGGACTTAGACTACTTGCGAAAAATGATCTTTTTGGACATTACCCACAACCCCGAAGCTTGGGAACTGAGCCTCTGAGGCTGCGAGCTCAGACGCGTTTGCGACCGCACCGCCATTGCAACCTCAATCAGTCGCATGGTAAGCTTTTATGCTGGGGAGAACTCATTTTTTGAGGAAGCTGTTGAGTGTACGCCTGACGCACACGCTTAGAGAAAGACATCCTGCCATGGGAGCAACCACAGTCAAAACGAACCAAAACACACAGGATGCGCGGGGATTCAGGGCCTCTTTGAAGACCTGGTATAAACATTGTAATAAACATGTGTGGTTACCCCCCGATCCATACTGAAAGCTTGTGCACCAAATTTATCTTACGTACATCGGCCCTCCAGTTTTCTGTGCTTTTTAATGCCTCCTCAGCTTTTGGCAACATTTTCCCGGAAACCTTTCAAAAAACCTGAGGAAGTAACCCACAAAAAAGGTTCCGGTCTTTGGAGCCAGGGCTTCCCGATTTTGGTACCTCATCAGGTCTTGTCGCTATTTTCTTGGAAGGAAGCACAATAAAAAAGCTGCCGTTCGACTTTGCCAAAACCCTACAGTAGACCACACCCTAAAAAGTCCTTAAATATGGCCAAAGAGCCGGCAAGAAGGACAATTTCTGCGAATTACAATCTGTTGCTGTAGGTTCTCACAGAATGAATATAGAGGGTGTCACCCATAGCCAATAATTTGTGCATCGCAAACCCCTCTCCATAGGTCCTGGACCGTTTAACAAGACCACACTGGCAAAGGAATCCTGGTGTTCTGGTCGAGCTGGACCAGTAGCCTGCTTCTGCTGACAATCTTAGATGAGTCACTAAGAGCAACATGCCTGCCACGCCCTTCATGAGTGACTAAGTTGGGATTGTAAAATCCCGTATTCAAGTACTTGCACAATCTTGGGCTACCTCGACATGGCAAAGGAGGTTCTTGCAGGCTAAGCCCCCATGCTTTCGCGACCCGTTTAGAAGGCGTCTGCGAAATGTGGAAAATCGGGTTGTGAAGGGTCACTGCTCCTGATTGGGCTTCGATGCTGTACTTACTCACTGACTGCTTCTTGCTGAGATAGGCACGTCGTTTATGCCCCACGGCATGGCAGCCTCACGTAGAGGGGTCTGCAAAGATTGAGATTAAGAGCTGCTTAATGTTTATCCTAGATTAGTCGTTGAGTTCTCGACGAACAAAGCAGCAGAACTTGGCTTGGCATGCATGAGTTGGTAAGTTGGCATTGCAAGACGGAACAAACATTTACGGTATCTAACAACATGTAACATGCTTTTGTCATTGCATGAATGCTTGATTATCCCCATGAACTGCTCCTGTGCAGAGCCATGCAAAGCAGGGCTCTGGGCCAACCTAAGCAGCTCGCTAGGGTAACAAATAAGAAATTGCTTAGAAAGACTGTATGGCAGCTTGCCCAGAGCACCAAGCACAATAACAACTACACACCGAACCCGACGCACACCTTGCGGCCCTGGGTCTAAAGTCTCAACCCCAAATCCCTAAACCTTAAAAACCCTGAATCCCTGAACCCTCCGCCTTTGGCGGGTTCGCAGAATTGACAGCTTACACAGATATATGTACCCGGATGCACAGCTGTGTCTGTAACCGTGCAGTGCATACATGCATGCCTCCAAGACCTATACACATGCAGCAACCACATGGTAAACCACATAGCTTGTGATACATAGCACGCCTCACATTAGATTACCGTTCCTCGCCTCGACATGATGCACGGCAGGGTTGCTTCAAGAAGGTACATAACCTCCTGTTTTACGGCTGATGTAAGGCTGCTGTTTCTACATCGTAATATAACTTAACTGAAAGCGCAGACGCGTTCTTACTTTTGGAGTAAGGCTTATTCTGGATTGGCCGAATGAACTTGCGCTTTGGACTCTGACTCTTGCCATTCAGGACTTCGGTTACAGTGGGCATCTCAAAATTTCAACGTGAACCCCTGGAGCCCACTTCCCACCGTGAAATTGCCCGAATAGCAAGAACCCCTTGGCCCTAAACCCTTCTGGTATCTTGTCTTTAGATCAGCGAGAAGCCCCACAGCGCTAGTTTGGCTAGTTAAGCCCTTAACGACCGTAAAGGCCCTAAATAGGTACCTTAAAGAAACCCTTAAAGGATCCCTTACAGGTCTTTAGGGGCGCCTAGGGTCGACTGGAGTTGGTCACCAAAGATCCGAGAGACGATCTCGTAGCCTCCTGGCTGCTGGGTGAGAAGTTGTGCTGACAGGGCTTTGGGGGTTTCCGAAAATGGGGACCCTAATGTAGCACCCTAAATAGTAGGATCCTTATTATAAGGACCCCAAATTAAGGTATCATGAGGTGTTTTTGCAGTTAGAAATGTAGGTGGAGCCGAGGCTGATTTACGTTGCGGCCCCATCCGGCCAGTTAAGATGGACAAAACAGGGGCAGAGGCTAGAACGGCCCTGGGCTTCTCTGCCTGCTTCGGAGCTTCCCGACTCTCGAAAGCTTTGGGCTTCAGATACCTCGAGGTTTCAGCATTCCGGGTCCTAAACCCCTAAACCCCTAGACCCTTATGTACGTAGGACCTTTATGTTCTATTTGGCATTCGGCTTGGTTGTTATAATTCTTTGCCACAGAGATCCGTATTCGAATATCTAGCCTTTCAAGTTTTAAAGGTTTTCAATATTTGAATGGCTTCTAAAACCTTTACAATTTAATTGGCCGGCCATTTATTTTTTAAGGATTTTTAAGATTTTAATGGCATTAGAATCTTTCAAATTTAATTGGCCGGCCAATTAATTTTTAAGGATTTTTAAAATTTTAATGGCCTTAAAATCTTTAAAATCCTTAAAATTTAAATGGGCCGAGGTTTGGGCTTTGGAAAAGTTAGCAAACCATTAAATTTTTAAAAATCTTTAAAATCTTTAAAATTTAATTGGCCTGCCAATTAATTTTTAATGATTTTTAAAATTTTAATGGCCTTAAAATCTTTAAAATCCTTAAAATTTAAATGGGCCAAGGTTTGGGCTTTGGAAAAGTTAGCAAACCATTAAATTTTTAAAAATTTTTAAAATCTTTAAAATTTAATTGGCCGGCCAAATATTTTTTAAGGATTTTTAAAATTTTAATGGCCTTAAAATCTTTAAAATCCTTAAAATTTAAATGGGCCAAGGTTTGGGCTTTGGAAAAGTTAGCAAACCATTAAATTTTTAAAAATCTTTAAAATCTTTAAAATTTAATTGGCCGGCCAATTAATTTTTAAGGATTTTTAAAATTTTAATGGCCTTAAAATCTTTAAAATTTAATTGGCCGGCCAATTAATTTTTAAGGATTTTTAAAATTTTAATGGCCTTAAAATCTTTAAAATCCTTAAAATTTAAATGGGCCCAGGTTTGGGCTTTGGAAAAGTTAGCAAACCATTAAATTTTTAAAAAACTTTAAAATCTTTAAAATTTAGTTGGCCGGCCAATTAATTTTTAAAGATTTTTAAAATTTTAATGGCCTTAAAATCTTTAAAATCCTTAAAATTTAATTGGGCCGAGGTTTGGGCTTTGGAAAAGTTAGCAAACCATTAAATTTTTAAAAATCTTTAAAATCTTTGAAATTTAATTGGCCGCCCAATTAAATTTTAAAGATTTTAAAGATTTTAATGCCATTAAAATTTTAAAAATCCTTAAAAATTAATTGGCCGGCCAATTAAATTTTAAAGATTTTAAAGATTTTTAAAAATTTAATGGTTTGCTAACTTTTCCAAAGCCCAAACCTCGGCCCAATTAAATTTTAAGGATTTTAAAGATTTTAAGGCCATTAAAATTTTAAAAATCTTTAAAAATTAATTGGCAGGCCAATTAAATTTTAAAGATTTTAAGGCCATTAAAATTTTAAAAATCCTTAAAAATTAATTGGTCGGCCAATTAAATTTTAAAGATTTTAAAGATTTTTAAAAATTTAATGGTTTGCTAACTTTTCCAAAGCCCAAACCTCGGCCCAATTAAATTTTAAGGATTTTAAAGATTTTAAGGCCATTAAAATTTTAAAAATCTTTAAAAAATAATTGGCAGGCCAATTAAATTTTAAAGATTTTAAGGCCATTAAAATTTTAAAAATCTTTAAAAATTAATTGGTCCGCCAATTAAATTTTAAAGATTTTAAAGATTTTTAAAAATTTAATGGTTTGCTAACTTTTCCAAAGCCCAAACCTCGGCCCATTTAAATTTTAAGGATTTTAAAGATTTTAAGGCCATTAAAATTTTAAAAATCTTTAAAAATTAATTGGCCGGCCAATTAAATTTTAAAGATTTTAAGGTCATTCAAATTTTAAAAATCCTTAAAAATTAATTGGCCGGCCAATTAAATTTTAAAGATTTTAAAGGTTTTTAAAAATTTAATGGTTTGCTAACTTTTCCAAAGCCCAAACCTGGGCCCATTTAAATTTTAAGGATTTTAAAGGCATTAAAATTTTAAAAATCCTTAAAAATTGATTGGTCCGCCAATTAAATTTTAAAGGTTTTAAAGATTTTTAAAAATTTAATGGTTTGCAAACTTTTCCAAAGCCCAAACCTCGGCCCATTTATATTTTAAGGATTTTAAAGATTTTAAGGCCATTAAAATTTTAAAAATCTTTAAAAATTAATTGGCCTGCCAATTAAATTTTAAAGATTTTAAAGATTTTTAAAAATTTAATGGTTTGCTAGCTTTTCCAAAGCCAAAACCTTGGCCCATTTAAATTTTCAGGATTTTAAAGATTTTTGGGCAAGTGATATTTTAAAAATCCTCAACAATGAATTGGTCCGCCAATTAAATCCTCTCGGTTGTGCTGCCCCATAGGTGGCATAACAAAAGGATCGGACCAAATTTTGGGAGCCAATCCTCTCGGTTGTGCTTCCCCATACGTAACAACACGTAAGGATAGGACCAAATTTCAGCAGGCAAAATTTGGTCCAATCCTCTCGGTTGTGCTTCCCCATAGGTAACATAACAAAAGGATAGGACCAAATTTTAGCGGGCAAAATTTGGTCCAATCCTCTCGGCTGTGCTTCCCCATAGGTAACATAAACAAAAGGATAGGACCAACTGTTGGGAGCCAATCCTCTCGGTTGTGTTTCCCCATACGTAACAACACGAAAGGATAGGACCAAATTTTACAACACGAAAGGATAGGACCAAAGTTTACAACTCGAAAGGATAGGACCAAATTTTAGCAGCAAAATTTGGTCCAATCCTCTCGGTTGTGCTTCCCCATAGATAACATAACAAAAGGATAGGACCAAATTTTGGCAGGCAAAATTTGGTCCAATCCTCTCGGCTGTGTTTCCCCATAGGTAACATAACAAAAGGATAGGACCAAATGTTGGGAGCCAATCCTCTCGGTTGTGTTTCCCCATACGTAACAACACGAAAGGATAGGACCAAATTTCAGCAGGCAAAATTTGGTCCAATCCTCTCGGTTGTGCTTCCCCATAGGTAGCATAACAAAAGGATAGGACCAAATTTTAGCGGGCAAAATTTGGTCCAATCCTCTCGGCTGCGCTTCCCCATGGGTAACATAACAAAAGGATAGGACCAAATTTTGGGAGCCAATCCTCTCGGTTGTGTTTCCCCATACGTAACAACACGAAAGAATAGGACCAAATTTCAGCAAGCAAAATTTGGTCCAATCCTATCGGTTGTGCTTCCCCATAGGTAACATAACAAAAGGATAGGACCAAATTTTAGCGGGCAAAATTTGGTCCAATCCTCTCGGCTGCGCTTTCCCATAGGTAACATAACAAAAGGATAGGACCAAAGTTTGGGAGCCAATCCTCTCGGTTGTGTTTCGCCATACGTAACAACACGAAAGGATAGGACCAAATTTTACAACACGAAAGGATAGGAACAAATTTTAGCAGCAAAATTTGGTCCAATCCTCTCGGTTGTGCTTCCCCATAGGTAACATAACAAAAGGATAGGACCAAATTTTAGCGGGCAAAATTTGGTCCAATCCTCTCGGCTGTGTTTCCCCATAGGTAACATAACAAAAGGATAGGACCAAATTTTGGGAGCCAATCCTCTCGGTTGTGTTTCCCCATACGTAACAACACGAAAGGATAGGACGAAAGTTTGGCAGGCAAAATTTAATC